GCAGGAGGTCGTGGGTTCGTGGGTTCCATCCCAACCCCTGACGACGCCTGCTGCTGCTGTATATTTTGAGTCTGCGTTTCTCTCTCATCATCATCATCACGGTGGCTAGGAGATGTTAACTACATCGCCTGGTCTACAGGAGGTCGTCGGTTCGATCCCGACCCTGACGACGCCTGCTGCTGCTGTATATTTGAAGTCTGCGTGTCTCATCATCATCATCATCACAGTGGCTAGGAGATGTTTACTACCTCGCCTGGTACGCAGGAGGTCGTCGGTTCGATCCCGACCCTGACGACGCCTGCTGTGTATTTGGAGTCTGTGTCTCTCTCATCATCATCATCATCATCACGGTGGCTATGAGATGTTGACTACCTCGCCTGGCACGCAGGAGGTCGTGGGTTCGATCCCGACCCTGACGACGCCTGCTGCTGCTGCTGTGCATTTCGCCGTCGCCATCAGCACCACGTCTCGGGAGCCTTCGGCTGCTGCTCTGAATGTTCTCGTGGTTCAAGTTCAAGTTCATGTATTAGGTGTAGCCCTGTGAGCCATTCGGCTCTTGAATCGGGTGCAACCGCAACAAACAAAAAACAAAAACATGAACAAGAAAACGTCTTGTAGTGACTATGTGACTGAGTGGTGATGACGATGTCGGCCAATGTGTGTTGGGCTCTCGTTTGTGTTGGGCAGGTCGCTTCTGAAAAGTAGTGTGGGTCTCTGTGGGTCTCTGTGGGTTTCTGTGTGGTCTCTGTGGGGTCTCTGTGGGTCTCTGTGGGGTCTCTGTGGGGTCTCTGTGGGGTCTTTGTGGGTCTCTGTGGGGTCTCTGTGGGGTCTCTGTGGGTCTCTGTGGGGTCTCTGTGGGGTCTCTGTGGGGTCTCTGTGGGGTCTCTGTGGGGTCTCTGTGGGTCTCTGTGGGGTCTCTGTGGGGTCTCTGTGGGGCTCTGTGGGGTCTCTGTGGGGTCTCTGTGGGTCTCTGTGGGGTCTTTGTGGGTCTCTGTGGGTCTCTGTGGGTCTCTGTGGGGTCTCTGTGGGGTCTCTGTGGGGTCTCTGTGGGGTCTCTGTGGGTCTCTGTGGGTCTCTGTGGGGTCTCTGTGTGTCTCTGTGGGTCTTTGTGGGTCTCTGTGGGTCTCTGTGGGTATGTATAGGTCTGTGTCGGTTTATATGGGTCTCTGTGGGTCTCTGTGGGTTTATATGGGTCTCTGTAGGTCTCTTTGGGTCTCTATAATACTCTATGGGTCTCTGTGGGTTTATATGGGTCTCTGTGGGTTTATATGGGTTTCTGTGGGTCTTTATGGGTCTCTGTGGGTTTATATGGGTCTCTGTGGGTCTCTGTGGGTCTCTATGGTACTCTATGGGTCTTTGTGGGTTTATATGGGTTTCTGTGGGTTTATATGGGTCTCTGTGGGTCTCTGTGGGTTTATATAGGTCTCTGTGGGTCTTTGTGGGTTTATATGGGTCTCTGTGGGTCTCTGTGGGTTTCTGTGGGTTTCTGTGGGTCTCTGTGGGTTTATATGGGTCTGTGTGGGTCTCTGTGGGTTTATATGGGTCTGTGTGGGTCTCTGTGGGTGGGTCTCTGTGGGTCTCTCCGGCTCTCTCTGAGTCTGTAGACACGTGACGCCTCCACGTGGTTGAGTTTGCTCGCATCGTTGATGGGCAAGCTCAACAGGCGGGGGGGAGGGGGGGGGCTGCCTTGGCACCTCGTCAAGCGGTGGTCGTCTTCGTTTCTTAGCCGCCGGACGGGCGCTCCGTTGGCAGTGAATGTTGATGTGCGAGTTGGTACGGTCCAGACTCTCAAACCCCCCCACGACATCCCTTTGCACTTGGTGTCGCCCACCCCTCTGCATTGCGGGTGCACATGAGGCCACGTGGTGTGCTGCTTGCCTCTCTCTCTCTCGCTCCGTGTGTGTATATAATATAATAATTATACAACTGCTAGACGAACACACATTGTATATATTTTTAATAATAATATAATATTATCGTGAATGTTGACGACCCAGCTTGCTGTCGTGGCAAGAACTTGGCCCGCTCGCTCCCAGCAGTAGCGGCAGCCTGTTGGAGGCTATACGGGGGACCTTTGTCTGTGTGTTGTGATGGTTGGTGGTGATGTTGGTGATGGTGATGTTGGTGATGGTGGCTTTGTCATCTTAAATGCGACGATGAGTTTTGCAATAGGGTGTCGCTAATAGGATTTCTGTTGGTATCTTTGCTTGTAGGATTTTGCAATAGGGTGTCGCTAATAGGACTGCTGTTGGTGTCTTTGCTTGTAGGATTTTGCAATAGGGTGTCGCTAATAGGATTGGTGGTATATCCCATAGGGGTTGGCCTATTGCGGTTTGCTTTGGCAGTGGGCTTGGTGGTTCACTGGGTGAGTGGGGGGGTTGGTGGTTCACTGGGTGAGTGGGGGGGTTGGTGGTTCACTGGGTGAGTGGGGGGCTTGGTGGGTGACTGGGTGAGTGGGGGGCTTGGTGGGTGACTGGTGAGTGGGGGGCTTGGTGGTGACTGGGTGAGTGGGGGGCTTGGTGGGTGACTGGGTGAGTGGGGGGCTTGGTGGGTGACTGGGTGAGTGGGGGGCTTGGTGGGTGACTGGGTGAGTTGGGGGGGTTGGTGGGTGACTGGGTGAGTGGGGGGCTTGGTGGGTGACTGGGTGAGTGGGGGGCTTGGTGGGTGACTGGGTGAGTGGGGGGCTTGGTGGGTGACTGGGTGAGTTGGGGGGTTGGTGGTTCACTGGGTGAGTTGGGGGGTTGGTGGTTCACTGGTTGAAGCGATGGGCTGGTTGCCACTCTTCGCTAAGCGGCCTCTCTCCACGCTGCTTTCCTACTGCACCACCGCCGCCTGCATCATGCCGCCGCCGCCCGCCGCAACAGGTGAGCTCCCGGCACGGGAATGTGGAATTCCCACGTGGCGTGGCGGCGCTGGCGAGTTGGGGGGGGGGGGGGGGAGCGGTGGCTACGAGCCCGGCGGAGAGCGGCGATGTCGCGGTTTTGCGTCGGCACCGGCTCCTTGGGAGCTGTGCGGAGTCGGCCTCAAGTGGCGGTAGTACCCGGTGCGGTGAACTTCGCCGCTGGGGAGACAAAGGTGGCCGGGCGGGCGTGGTGCCGGCCTCCTCCTCCTACCCCCGTGCGTGCCGTTCGTAGGTGCTCGCTCACTAACGTTGTGTTTAGAGCTTCATTTTGGTGATTTCGGAGACGTTTTGGTTTAGCCGTGTTTGTTTGTTTGTAGTGTAATGTGAGGGACATATCCGGGTTGCTGTTGGATCACACCTCGTACGATGATTGGCTCTGCCGGTCCTGGCCCATAGCCAATGGGGAGAAGCCTAGGGGCGTGGCCCTGACGTCATGGGAAGGTGACAGCTGCAAGTAGATGATTGGTTCTGCTGGCTTTAGCCACAGCCAATGGGGGGACGAGTCAGGGGCGTGGTCCCGGGAGCCTACGATGGAGTCTGGAAGATTCCATAGAGGCTAACCAGGATTGGTGGAAAGGTACCACGTGACCCGGGTATTAAAAGGGGTGGAGACGGACAACACGTGGTCAGATCTGGAACGAACGGAGGATGAGGCCACGCGGGAGTGGGGTCCAGGCTACACCACGTGGTCCAGGCTGCCCACGTGGTCCAGGCTGCCACGTGGTCCAGGCTGCCCACGTGGTCCAGGCTGCCACGTGGTCCAGGCTGCCACGTGGTCCAGGCTGCCACGTGGTCCAGGCTGCCACGTGGTCCAGGCTGCCACGTGGCCGCGCGTGTGTCTCTCTCTCTATCCCTCTCACGCTGTCTGTCAGCTGTGTGAAGGAGTGTTGTAAAGAAAGGCAAATAAAGACCGGATTCCAGAAGTCTATTCCACGACCTTTATTACAGTAGCACAGAGCTCGACTGATAACTTTAATCTAAATTGCCTTGTGGTTGTTGTTGTTGTTTGACTCGCATCCCACTGGGATTTTTGCACGCAGCGTTGAAGTGCGGTGCTTTTTGTTAGCCACTTGAAGATGTTTTCTTGTTTTTGTTTGTTGCGGTTGCACCCGAGTTAAGAGCCGCATGGCTCACAGGGATACACCTCATAATACAGCACTTGCTCCAACAGTACATTAAGGCTATACGGGGGATCTTTGTCTTGTGTGTGTCTTCGTGCATGTGTGCGTGTGTCTGCGTGCGTGTTTGTACATGTGTGTGAGTCTGTGCGTGTGTCTGCGTGCGTGTGTCTGCATGCGTGTTTGTACGTGTGTGTCTGCGTGCGTGTGTCTGCATGCGTGTTTGTACGTGTGTGTCTGCGTGCGTGTGTCTGCGTGCGTGTTTGTACATGTGTGTGAGTCTGTGCGTGTGTGTCTGCGTGCGTGTTTGTGCGTGTGTCTTCGTGCATGTGTCTGAGGTGCGTGTCTGCGTGCGTGTTTGTACGTGTGTCTGCGCGTGTGTGTGTGCGTGCGTGTGTGCGTGCGTGTTTGTGTAATCGTGCTGGCACAGTAGGGGGGTACAGCTGGTGGTGCATCTACCAGTGGTCATCTCAGTCGGTCAACCCATGGCACCTGCTGGGCCTGTCCCGTGACCTCCTGCACCTAGCCTGGCACAGTAGGGGGGTTACAGCTGGTGTGTGTGCATCTGCCGGTCATCTCAGTCAGCCAACCCATGGCACCTGCTGGGCCTGTCCCGTGACCTCCTGCACCTAGCCTGGCACAGTAGGGGGGTTACAGCTGGTGTGTGTGCATCTGCCGGCCATCTCGGTCAGCCAACCCATGGCACCTGCTGGGTCTGTCCCGTGACCTCCTCCTGCCAGCAGGGAGCCTTCCACACTTAACGTGGTAGCCTCAAAGTGGTGCACCTAGCCTGGCACAGGCGCCGTGGTGACGTCACCGTCACTTCGTAGCGAATGGCGGCTGTTGTTGCGGGAGGGCGAGGAGTGGGCGACCAGGTGTTGACCCGTTGATCTTCATAGATTGTGGACCGGTTGACCCCTCGTTGACCCTTCGTTGACCCCCCATTGACCCCCCCGTTGACCTCCCGTTGACCCCCGCAGACGAGGCGTTTGTGACGCTGGCGACCAACGACTCCTACGCCAAGGGGGCGCTGGTGCTGGCTCACTCGCTACGGCAGCAGGGCACCACGCGACAACTCGTCATCCTGGTCACACCACACGTGTCGGCAGCCTACCGGTGAGTGGGTGGGTGAGTGTGTGTGTGAGTGGGTGAGTGGTTGTGAGTGGGTGAGTGGGTGGGTGGGTGAGTGAGTGAGTGTAGCTGGTGCTGGCTCACTCGCTACGGCAGCAGGGCACCACGCGGCAGCTCGTCATCCTGGTCACCCCACACGTGTCAGCAGCCTACCGGTAGGGGGGTGAGTGGATGGGTGGGTGGGTGGGTGAGTGTGGGTGGGTGAGTGGGTGGGTGTGAGTGGGTGAGTGGGTGAGTGGGTGGGTGAGTGGGTGGGTGAGTGGGTGAGTGGGTGGGTGAGTGGGTGAGTGTGGGTGGGTGGGTGAGTAGGTGAGTGTGGGTGGGTGTGTGGACGGGTGGGTGGGTGTGTGGACGGGTGGGTGGGTGTGTGGACGGGTGGGTGGGTGTGTGGACGGGTGGGTGGGTGTGTGGGTGGGTGGGTGTGTGGGTGTGTGGGTGAGGTGTGTGTGGGTGGGTGTGTGGTGTGGGTAATGTAGTCGGTAGTGTAGCGGGTAGCGCTACGCTGCACTACGAACCTGGCGACCCGAGTTCGATTCCCTTTCACGGCCTCCAACACGGCCACCAACACCACCACCAGCGACGATTATCTGAACTGGTCCTCAGCCTATACACAGACAAAGATCCGTGCCCCTCCTCTCACCCCCCCTCCCCCCCTCACCCCCCCCCCCTCACCCCCCCCTCACCCCCCCCCCCCCCCAGCTCTGCGCTGGGCGTGGCCTACGACCTGGTGCAGCCTGTGGACGTGATGGACTCTGGCGACGCGGCCCACCTGGCCCTGATGGAGCGCCCCGAGCTCGGGGTGACGCTCACCAAGATCCACTGCTGGGCGCTCACCCAGTACACCAAGGCCGTCTTCATGGACGCAGACACCCTGGTGAGAGTGGGGGGCACACAGACACCCTGGTGAGAGTGGGGGGCACACAGACACCCTGGTGAGAGTGGGGGGCACACAGACACCCTGGTGAGAGTGGGGGGCACAGAGCCCCCCCCAGTGAGTCCACTGACCCTGTGGGAGCCCCATCGACTCGTCACACAGAGAAACCCCCTTGTGACCCCGTGTGTCTCTCCCCGTGGTCTCCCCCCGTCTGTCTCCGTGTGACCCCGTGTGTCTCTCCCCGTGTCTCCTCCCGTGTCCCCCCCATGTCTCTCCCCGTGTCTCCCCCGCGTGTCTCCCCCCGTGTCCCCCCCGTGGTCCCCCCCGTGTCCCCCCCGTGTCTCTCCCCGTGTCTCTCCCCGTGTCTCCCGTGTGTCCCCCCATGTCTCCCCCCGTGTCTCCCCGTGTCTCCCCCGTGTCTCCCCCCGTGTCCCCCCCCCCGTGTCCCCCCCCGTGTCTCCCCGTTCTCCCCCCATGTCCCCCCCCGTGTCCCCCCATGTTTCCCCCCGTGTCTCCCCCCGTGTCTCCCCGTGTCTCCCCGTGTCTCCCCCCTGTCCCCCCCCCGTGTCTCCCCGTGTCTCCCCCGTGTCCCCCCCCGTGTCTCCCCCCGTGTCTCCCCCATGTCCCCCCCCGTGTCTCCCCCGTCGTCTCCCCCATGTCCCCCCCCCCCCCCCGTGTCTCCCCCCGTGTCTCCCCCCCGTGTCCCCAGGCCGTGGCCCCGCTGGATGACCTCTTTGAGCGCGAGGAGCTGTCGGCGGCTCCCGACCCCGGTTGGCCGGACTGCTTCAACTCGGGCCTCTTCGTGTTCCGCCCCTCGCTGGACACGTACGCACAGCTGCTGGAACTCGCTCGCTCCACCGGCAGCTTCGATGGTGAGTCACTCACTCACCAGCTCACTCACTCACCAGCTCACTCACTCACTCGCTGGACACGTACGCACAGCTGCTGGAACTCGCTCGCTCCACCGGCAGCTTCGATGGTGAGTCACTCACTCACCAGCTCACTCACTCACCAGGTCACTCACTCACTCACTCGCTGGACACGTACGCACAGCTGCTGGAACTCGCTCGCTCCACCGGCAGCTTCGATGGTGAGTCACTCACTCACCAGCTCACTCACTCCCCAGCTCACTCACTCACTCACTCGCTGGACACGTACGCACAGCTGCTGGAACTCGCTCGCTCCACCGGCAGCTTCGATGGTGAGTCACTCACTCACCAGCTCACTCACCCACTCACTCACCAGCTCACTCACCAGCTCACTCACTCGCTCACCAGCTCACTCACCAGCTCACTCACTCGCTGGACACGTACGCACAGCTGCTGGAGCACGCTCGCTCTACAGGCAGCTTCGATGGTGAGTCACTCACTCACCAGCTCACTCACTCACTCACTCACTCGCTCGCTCACCAGCTCGCTCACTCACTCACTCACCAGCTCACTCACCAGCTCACTCACTCACCAGCTCACTCACTCACCAGCTCACTCACTCACCAGCTCACTCACTCGCTCACCAGCTCACTCGCTCACCAGCTCACTCGCTCACCAGCTCACTCACCAACTCACTCACCTCACCCACTCACTGGACACATACTCTCAGCTGCTAGCGCTCGCTCACTCCACCGGCAGCTTCGATGGTGAGTCACTCGCTCGCTCACTCACTCACCAGCTCGCTCACCAGCTCGCTCACCAGCTCACTCACCAGCTCACTCACCAGCTCACTCGCTCGCTCACCAGCTCACTCACCAGCTCGCTCACTCACTCACCAGCTCACTCACTTGCTCGCTCACTCACTCAGTGTGGTGGTGGTTGATGATGGTGGTGGTGGTTGATGATGGTGGTGTGGTGGTTGGTGGTGGTGGTGTGGTGAGCGGTGGTGCAGTGGTTAGCGCTACGCTGCGCTACGAACCCGGCTATGACCCGAGTTCGATTCCCGCTCACGGCCACCAACACCACCAGTGACGATTATCTGAACCGGTCCTGGGCCTCTCCTAGGTCGACTCAGTCTCAAATGAGTACCTGGTGCGGTGTGTAGTCAACATCGCCACTGGGGAGACAAAGGCGGCCGGGCGTGGTGCTGGCCACCCACCCCCTCGTGTGCCACAGTGCCGGTAGCCTTCACAGGTGCTGCTGCTACTCGCTACTAACAGCACTTGCCCCTACAGCCTGTTAGAGGCTACACGGGGGATCTTTGTCTGTGTATAGGTGCTGCTACTTGCTACTAACAGCACTTGCCCCTACAGTCTGTTAGAGGCTACACGGGGGACCTTTGTCTGTGTATAGGCGCTGCTGCTACTCGCTACTCACAGCACTTGCCCCTACAGTCTGTTAGAGGCTACACGGGGATCTTTGTCTGTGTATAGGTGCTGCTACTCGCTACGATGAACAGCACTTGTCCCTGCAGTGTGTGTGAGGCTACACGGGGGACCTTTGTCTGTGTAGGGGGTGACCAGGGCCTGCTGAACACGTTCTTCAGCGGCTGGGCCACGGAGAACATCGACCGCCACCTCCCGTTCACCTACAACCTGAGCATCGCGTCAGTGTACTCTTACCTGCCAGCCTACAAACGGTACACACACACACAGTGTACACACACACACACGTACACACACACACACAGCATCGCGTCCGTGTACTCTTACCTGCCGGCCTACAAAAGGTGTGTACACACACACACAGTGTACACACAGTGTACACACACACACACACAGTGTACACACACACACAGCATTGCATCCGTCTACTCGTACCTGCCAGCCTACAAAAGGTGTGTACACACAGTGTACACACACACACACAGTGTACACACACACATACACAGCATCGCGTCAGTGTACTCGTACCTGCCAGCCTACAAACGGTGTGTACACACACAGTGTATATACACACACACACACACGTACACACACAGTGTACACACACACACACACAGCATCGCCTCAGTCTACTCGTACCTGCCAGCCTACAAACGGTGTATACACACACACACACGTGTACACACAGTGTACACACGTACACACACAGCATCGCATCCGTCTACTCGTACCTGCCGGCCTTCAAAAGGTACACACGTACACACACACACGTACGTACACACACGTACGTACACACACGTACACACACGTACACACACACACACACGTACACACACACACGTGGTGTACACACACACATGTATACACACACACACACGTGCGTACACACACGCATGCGTACACACACACGTACACGCATACGGACACATGAACGCACATGGAGATGGACACACACACAGGTCACCCCCTAACAAACTGATCATCACCACCACCATCACCATCACCACCACCTTCACCTTCACCACCATCACCATCACCACCACCACCTTCACCACCTTCACCACCACCACCACCTTCACCTTCACCACCACCTTCACCACCACCATCACCTTCACCACCACCATCACCTTCACCACCACCAGCACCTTCACCACCAGCACCTTCACCACCACCACCTTCACCACCACCTTCACCACCACCACCACCTTCACCACCACCACCTTCACCACCACCACCTTCACCACCACCACCACTAGGAGCCGGAAGGCCGCGGGGTGATGCTGCCTCCCCCCTCCCCCCCACCTCCACCCCCTTCCAAGATTTGGTGGCGATGTCAAGGTGGTCCACTTCCTGGGTGCGGTGAAGCCCTGGCACTGCCGCTACGACTCCACGTCCGGCACCGTCTCCTCCTCCTCCTCGGACCTCACGCAGCAGCACCAGCAGCAGCAGCAGCTGCCCCACCAGCTGCCCCACCACGCCAACTTCCTGCAGCGCTGGTGGCAGCTGTTCCACGCCAGCGTGTTGCCCACGCTGCCCGCGGACGCCGCCGCTGCGGCCGTGGCGCAAGCGGCCGCCGGCGTAGAGGTTGGTGGTGACGCCGGTGGTGGCGCCGGTGATGGCGCCGGTGGTGGCGGTGGTGTCGATGGTGTCGGTGGTGGCGGCGGTGGCGGTGTCGGTGGTGGTTCTGCTGCTGGAGAGGTGAGCGCATGGCCTCATTCTTGCTTCCTGTTTTTTAGTTTGTGCTGCTCGCTATGAGATGTTGACTCTCTCATCATCATCACGGTGGCTATGAGATGTTGACTACCTCGCCTGGTACGCAGGAGGTCGTGGGTTCGATCCCGACCCTAACGGCGCCTGCTGCTGCTGCTGCTGTATATGTGGAGTCTGCGTCTCTCCCTCTCATCATCACGGTGGCTATGAGATGTTGACTACCTCGCCTGGTCTACAGGAGGTCGTGGGTTCGATCCCGACCCTGACGCCTGCTGCTGCTATGTATGTGGAGTTTGCGTCTCTCTCCCCGTAGTGGTCGCTGCGTGGATTTGTCTCCGGCTCCTCCGGCTTTTCCCCCTCCACGTTTAGAGTCAACAACAACATCAACATCAACAACATCAGCAGCAGCACGTGGTCCAGAGTCTTTGACTGCTGCTATAATGTCCACACGGTGGTGATGATGATGATGCTCGTTGGTTCTTTCAGTAAAGTCGCGTAGAAAGAGAACACAATAGATTAAATACCAGCACACGACGCTTCGATTGCAACACAAGCAATCATCGTCAGGTTCAAATGAAAGAGAAAACCAACCTAGTGAACTTAGAACTACAATGCAATACAGCACACAGAGTCGGCCAACACGACAGTCAACACCCTACCTGGTTGGTGGACCACACGCGGATGGGTGAGCGGAGCTCTCTTCCTACCCCGTGCCACCACTACCGCCCCCCCCCCCCCCCCCCCGTGTGGACTAATCCCCATCCGTCCCACGCTTGCTCAGGTTTCGTCTCTGCAGTCGGCGCTGTCGGCGCTGGCCGTGGCTCCTGGCGCCGGCTCCTCGCAGCAGGAGCAGCAGCAGCAGCAGCAGCAGCAGGAGCACGAGGAGCGCAGGCGGAGGCAGCAGTGGGAGAGTGGACAGGCCGACTACCTGGGAGCGGACGCATTCAAGCACATCCAGCGCAAGCTCGACTCGCAGCTCAAGTGACGCGGCGGGGGCCAGGGTGGGGGAGGTGGGGGGGGAGGCCATAGTGGGCCCATAGTGGGCCCGTAGTTGGCCCTATAGTTGGCCCTATAGTTGGTCCTATAGTTGGCCCTATAGTGGGGTCATAGTGGGGCCTACTTGGCCCTCTCGTCCAACTGGCTGACCGACCGCTCATTTGTACACTCACTCGCTCACTCAACCATTCACTCAACCACTCGCTCACTCACTCAACCACTCACTCATTCAACTACTCACTCACTCAACCATTCACTCACTCACTCTACCACTCACTCACTCAACCACTCACTCACTCAACCACTCACTCACTCAACCACTCACTCACTCAACCATTCACTCAACTACTCACTCACTCACTCACTCTACCACTCACTCACTCAACCACTCACTCACTCAACCACTCACTCACTCAACCACTCGCTCACTCACTCAGCCACTCATTCACTCACTCAACCACTCACTCACTCACTCAGCCACTCACTCACTCAACCACTCACCCACACGCTCACCCACCCACATGCTCTCCCACTCTCCCATCCACACGCTCACCCACCCACACTCACCCCCACAACCCCCTTGTGGTGCCACGTGGTACCACGCGGTGCCGCGTGGTGCCACGTGGACATTCCACATTCCCATGGCGGGTGACAGTCTGTCCACGATGCATCCACCCACCACTGAATGTTTACCCCGAAATCAAGTGGTGCTGTGAATCACGTGGTGATGGTAGTGGTGGTGATGGTGATGGTGGTGATGGTGATGGTGGTGATGGGCATTATGTTGGTGATGGGCATTATGTTGGTGAAGTTGGCGATGGTGATTGTGGTTTTTAATGGTAGCGATTGTGGTGATCATGGTGATGATCTCCATCAAGATGATGGCAATGTTAAAGGTGATAATGATGATAATGGTGGTGGTGGTTTGAACGCTGGAACCTCAACCGGACCCATATAGAGACCCATATAGAGACCCATATAGAGACCCATATAGAGACCCATATAGAGACCCATATAGAGACCCATATAGAGACCCATATATAGACCCATATAGAGACCCATATAGAGACCCATATAGAGACCCATATAGAGACCCATATAGAGACCCATATAGAGACCCATATAGAGACCCATATAGAGACCCATATAGAGACCCATATAGAGACCCATATATAGGAACCTCTAGAGAAACCCCATAGACCCATACAGAGACTCATGGACTGACTCACAAAGACACTGACAAACACACACACACAAGGCAAAGCTCCCCCGTGTAGCCTCTAACAGGCTGTAGGGGCAAGTGCTGTTAGCGAGCAGCACCTATGAAGGCTACCGGCACTGTGGCACACGAGGGGGTGGGTGGCCAGCACCACGCCCAGTGACACACTGACACAGTGACACACTGACACATACACAGTGACACACACACAGTGAGACACACACACAGACAGACACGGTGACACAGAAACGGTGACACACACAGTGACACACACACAGACAGTGACACACAGTGACACACAGTGAGACACACAGACACAGTGACACACACAGACTGACTGCCACACAGCTGATATAACGGCTGACTTAGCTGATGACAGCCTGACTCGGCTGGTGACCAGCTGACTTGTCACGCAGCTGGTGACAGCCTGACTCGGCTACAGACCAGCTGACTTGTGACTCAGCTGGTGACAGCCTGACTCGGCTACAGACCAGTTGATTTGTCACGCAGCTGGTGACAGCCTGACTCAGCTGGAGATCAGCTGACTTGTCACGCAGTCAGCGTTGCCTCCAGCATTGAGCCGGAGTCATCGCAGCTGCTGCTGCTGCTGCAGCTGCTGCTGCTGCTGCTGTTGCTGCTGCTGTTGCTGCTGCTGCAGCTGCTGTTGCTGCTGCTGCAGCTGCTGTTGCTGCTGCTGCAGCTGCTGTTGCTGCTGCTGCAGCTGCTTTTCGTTTGTGGTTCCTTGTTGAGAGGAAGGACCCCCAGCACCGGCGACCAGGCGTGACGGACACCGCGACCTGCTGCTGCTGCTGGGGGTGTTTCTGTGGGGGGGGGGGGGTGTTGTTCTGGGGGTGTTGCTGTTGATGGTTGTAACACAGGCGGCGGCGGTGGTGGTTCTTTAGTCGAATAGAAACAATAAAAAAATACATTTGACAACATGGCTCCCGTTTTGAGAGTGAGTGTGGGTCTGTACCTGTGTGTGTGTGTGTACCTGTGTGTGTGTGTGTGTACCTGTGGGTGTGTGTGTGTGTACCTGTGTGTGTGGGTGTGTGTGTGTGTACCTGTGTGTGTGTGTGTGTACCTGTGTGTGTGTGTGTGTACCTGTGTGGGTGTGTGTGTGTGTGTACCTGTGGGTGTGTGTGTGTGTGTGTACCTGTGGGTGTGTGTGTGTACCTGTGGGTGTGTGTGTGTGTGTGTACCTGTGGGTGTGTGTGTGTGTGTACCTGTGGGTGTGTGTACCTGTGGGTGTGTGTACCTGTGGGTGTGTGTACCTGTGGGTGTGTGTACCTGTGGGTGTGTGTGTACCTGTGGGTGTGTGGGTGTGTGTACCTGTGGGTGTGTGTGTGTGTGTACCTGTGGGTGTGTGTGTGTGTGTACCTGTGGGTGTGTGTGTGTGTGTACCTGTGGGTGTGTGTGTGTGTACCTGTGGGTGTGTGTGTGTGTACCTGTGGGTGTGTGTGTGTGTACCTGTGGGTGTGTGTGTGTGTACCTGTGTGTGTGTACCTGTACAAAGTCCCATTGGTGAGCTCCTCCGGCAGGACACTCCACCCCCACAGCTCCCAATCGGTGATGGGGAAGTTGTGGAGAGAGTGGAGAGTTTCCCATACCTGGGCAGTGTGCTTATGACCGGCTCCAGTTTAACAGCAGAGGTCTCACTCCGAATCAGTCGAGCGGCAATATCTTTTCATCGGTTGCGTAACGATGTGTGGAAGCTACCTGGTCTGTCGCTCCGCACGAAGCTTCAGGTCTTCTCGGCCACGGTCATTCCCTCCCTTCTCTACGCTTGCGAAACGTGGAGCCCCCTAATGGAGCATCTTCGCCGGTTGTAAACATTTAGGCTGGCCTGCCTACGATCCATCCTGGGTTTAACCAGGCTGGATTGTGTGAGGAGCTCACAAACCCTTGATAGATCTGGGCAAAGTCCCATCGGTGAGCTCCTCCGGCAGGCAAGGCTGCGTTGGCTGGGTCATGTAGCCCGCATGCCCAGCCACCGCATGCCTAAACAGCTTTTGTTCGGCCGGATCGAGGGGGCTAAACGGGCGCGGCACGGGCTAGAGAAGAGATGGAGTGATGTGGTACAGGAGGACGTGGAGCTGAGTGGACTTGCCGATGACTGGTACCAGCGGTGTCAAGATCGGCCTCTGTGGAGGAGGCTCGTGAAGGACGCTACTGGGCAGTTGGAGGCAGTCGCCCTCCAACAACAACGGTGGGCGGAGGAGCGACGCTCACAACAACGAGCGGAGCGCCGGGTGGATAAAGCACAGCGAGTTGGCATCATCTGCCAGTCATCTCAGTCGGTCGACCCGTGGCACCTGCAGGGTCTGTCCCGTGACCTCCTGCCAGCAGGGGGCCCGTTGACACTTCACGTGATAGCCTCGGAGTGTATCGCCACTGGGGAGACAAAGGCGGCCGGGCGTGGTGCTGGCCACCCACCCCCTCGTGTGCCACAGTGCAGGCGCTCCTTAACAGCACTTGCCCCAACAGTCTATTAAAGGCTATACGGGGGATCGTTGTCTTTATTGTGATACATTTTTAAAACAATCTAATCTCAGCGAGTTTATTGTCTCAGCCTGGTCACCAATGACTCAATACACAGAGACCCATAGACTCACCACACAGAGACTCATAGACTCATCACACAGAGACCCACAGACTCATCACAGAGACCCACAGACTCATCACACAGAGACCCACAGACTCGCCACAGAGAGACCCACAGACTCACCACACAGAGACTCATAGACTCATCACACAGAGACCCACAGACTCATCACAGAGACCCACAGACTCATCACCACAGAGACCCACAGACTCACCACAGAGAGACCCACAGACTCACCACACAGAGACTCATAGACTCATGACACAGAGACCCACAGACTCATCACAGAGACCCACAGACTCATCACACAGAGACCCACAGACTCGCCACACAGAGACCCACAGACTCACCACACAGAGACCCACAGACTCACCACACAGAGACTCACAGACTCATCACACAGAGACCCACAGACTCGCCACACAGAGACCCACAGACTCACCACACAGAGACCCACAGACTCACCACACAGAGACTCACAGACTCATCACACAGAGACCCACAGACTCATCACACAGAAACCCATAGACTCACACACAGAGACCCACAGACTCACACACAGAGACCCACAGTCTCATCACAGAGAGACCCACAGACTCACACGCAGATACCCACAGACTCATCACCACAGAGACCCACAGACTCACCACAGAGAGACCCACAGACTCACCACACAGAGACCCACAGACTCACCACACAGAGACCCACAGACTCACCACACACAGACCCACAAACTCACCACACAGAGACCCACAGACTCACCACACAGAGACCCATAGACTCACCACACAGAGACGCACAGACTCACCACACAGAGACCCACAGACTCATCACAGAGACCCACAGACTCATCACACAGAGACCCACAGACTCGCCACACAGAGACCCACAGACTCACCACACAGAGACCCACAGACTCACCACACAGATACTCACAGACTCATCACACAGAGACCCACAGACTCATCACACAGAAACCCATAGACTCACACACAGAGACCCACAGACTCACACACAGAGACCCACAGACTCACCACACAGAGACCCACAGTCTCATCACAGAGAGACCCACAGACTCACACGCAGAGACCCACAGACTCATCACCACAGAGACCCACAGACTCACCACAGAGAGACCCACAGACTCACCACACAGAGACCCACAGACTCACCACACAGAGACCCACAGACTCACCACACACAGACCCACAAACTCACCACACAGAGACCCACAGACTCACCACACAGAGACGCACAGACTCACCACACAGAGACCCACAGACTCACCACACAGAGACGCACAGACTCACCACACAGAGACCCACAGACTCATCACACAGAGACTCACAGACTCACCACACAGAGACGCACAGACTCACCACACAGAGACCCACAGACTCACCACACAGAGACCCACAGACTCACCACACAGAGACGCATAGACTCACCACACAGAGACCCACACACTCGTGACCGCCACCTGCTGTTCGCCCAGCGTCACTGCGTGTCTGGCGCCGACGTGGAGACTGACAATTGGCGACGCTTCGGGCAATGCGCCTCCCGCAGAGCGCGATAGCCAACTCACGAAGTCACCCACAAACTCACTCACAAAGTCACTCACGACGTCGCCCACAAACTCACTCACAAAGTCACCCACAAACTCAGTCAGACTCAGTCACAAACTCACCCACAAAGTCACCTACAAACTCACTCACAAAGTCACCCACAAACTCACCTACAAACTCACTCACGAAGTCACCCACAAACTCACCCACAAACTCACTCACAAACTCACCCACAAACTCACTCACGAAGTCACCCACAAACTCACTCAAACTCACTCACGAAGTCGCCCACAAATTCACTCTCAAACTAACCCACAAACTCACCTACAAACTCACTCACGAAGTCACCCACAAACTCACTCAAACTCACTCACGAAGTCGCCCACAAACTCACTCTCAAACTCACCCACAAACTCGCTCACAAACTCACTCACAAAGTCACCCACAAACTCACCCAAAAACTCACCCACAAACTCACTCAAACTCACCTACAAACTCACTCACAAAGTCACCCACAAAATCACCCACAAACTCACTCACAAACAAAGATCCCCCGTGCAGCCTTAACAGACTGTTGGGGCAAGTGCCTATGAAGGCCGGTACAGCACACGAGGGGGTGGGTGGCCAGCACCACGCCCGGCCGCCTTTGTCTCCCCGATGGTGATGATTACTACACACTGCACCAGGTACTCATTTGAGACTGAGTCAACCTAGGAGAGGCCCAGGACCGCTTCTGATAATCGTCACTGGTGGTGTTGGTAGCCGTGAGCGGGAATCGAAC